TCACTAGCTGTACCAGGTACCACACTCTCTAAGGTCTGATGGGCGTAAAGCCAGTTAGTGAGCTCCGGGACGGGGGTAGGTCAGTGGGAGGGGAGCGAGATAGGAGGAGGAGGAGGAGGAGGAGGAGGAGGATGGGTGAAAGTAGAGACCCCCTCGCTACTCTGAGCTAAGCAGACCGGTCTAGACTTTCAACATCTGAAAGATCAGACAGGCAAGATGGACAGTACGCGCCCGAGCTGAGGGTGAAAGACTAAAGGGACAAAAATAATCCAACTACTATACTTACTTGCTCTAAATGTTGTCTGAACAGACGTGATTGGTTGTTTGGGAAGTTTAATTCTTATTTATAGTTTAAGTAATTTGCACTGGAAAAGCAAAAAACAACCATGAAATAATCTATGCCAACAATATTCAGACAGAAATCTAACAGAATTTGATTCCTAAAGGGTGAATATCATGTAAAATTCCTTAAGCAAACTAATCCCCCTCTATTCCCATAGTTTTTAATTGGCTGCCAATGAACTTAAAAGCGACTCTAGCATTCACTGCGGTCAGAGAAGCCGGATGACCGAGTGCCCTCTCCGTACTGCTCTGGTCTGAGCAGGGGCAGGGGCAGGTGGCAGGTTTATTTGGAAAGATGGAAATGGGATGAATAGCTGAGGGTTAAGAGGTGTGAGGGGGAATGGGTGGTGGAGTGCAGGGAGGCCATAAAAGCCATGAGAGACCAGGGTTATCGTGGGGTCAGTGCCTACTAGTCCAGTCCCTGTGATGTCACTTGACCAGTATTTCCCAAGTCCTGAGAACGACCTGGGATCTAATTAGCTGATGCCCGGGTAATAAATCTTGTTGAACTTTATGGACGGCATTCAGTTGAGACGCGGCTACCTCCGTGGTCAGCAGGTTGCAGAGGGGCTAATCTCGCCCTCGCCACCGTTGTCTCGGGAAGTAATTTAACACATGAAATACGGCTCGCGATCGTGGGCCTTATACATTTGCAACTTTCACTTTGATTAGCTTTGAACTTCATGCTCTGAGGAACCGTTTCAGTAACTTTCTGTTGCGACTTGCTTCAGGGCCATTGCAACTCTCTGTACACTGTGTGATTTTTAGAAAGGCATAAATGAGAAAAATTAACCCTTTCGGCGCCGAAGTAGAATAATTACTACAGAAGCGCTTGGGACCAGGACATGCTATACTGTACATATCAACTTGCCTTGCCTTTCAAAAACAGTATAGGAGAGGATTGTATGAATATGTCCATGTTTCTAATATAATCTCATTAAAACCTCTTCTCCTTGACTATTTTCTATTTCTGTTGTTGATTTTAGTCGTCCTGTATTGTCAGTTTTGGCCTCTAATGCCTTTTTCAAATCTCTTAAGTTTTGATTTTTGGATTTGTAACATTAATTGTGACTAGCGAGTTTAACCTACATTACTTTAGGCAAATTGTATTGTTACTAATTATAACCATATAATGTGCTGGTCCAGCAATTGTGCAGCTTTGATGTTGAGGAAACATGTTGAAGCAGTCTTTATTTTTGAACTACAAAACCTCACAATAGAAAGGCTCTTTCTGCAAACATCGGGTTCTCTCTTTAGATTGGATAAAAGTAGTAGGGATACCAGGAAATGCTTGATCCAGTTTTCGGTTGCCAAGCTGAATGACTGGGACCTCCATGCTCCAACTATTTTGAGATGCAGATGTTTGGTTTCCTTTACCAGAATTCTCCGTTATACAAGTTACTTTTTAAAGACTTCAGTATGTCCACATTTAGAGCGTTGCGAGTGGCAATGACAACCTTCACGTAAAACAAACAGCCTTAACATAACAGTGGAAATAGAAATAGGGAAAAGTAACTGCTTCAAGGACTGCGATGGTCACTCAAGACACAGGGGGATCTAAATCTACATCTGCACTTGTGCCAAAATATTTGCAGAGGTTTGTCACAACTTTACAAAGACTTTGCTACCACTTTGACAGATACCATATCACTCAAACTCAATTCAATACGAATAACTTTATTGATCCGTGAAGAACTTCATTGCAGACAGAGCACTAGTGGGGATACATAAAGACACAGAAACACAAGATATAACACAAGAGACAATAATCTTGTATTTTACTTCAGTATTTTAATAATGCTAAAGTTCCTCGCTAAATTTAGCTCTATCTCTCGGATATTCTCTCTCCCAAATCCTGATTACAATCACAAGGCAGGTCCCTGGACACATTTCCCAACACAAAATCACTCTGATCTTATATACTGCACAACTACACCACTTTTCTTTAGAGGTCAAACTGTGCTTTCTTCCATTGCAAACATTACCAATACTTAATAGCACCATTAGTCCCACTGTAACTTCCAGACATTTTCCACTCACATCTTGAGCCCGCTCTGAAGCCGAGGGCCTGCGTAGTTACTTCAGTGTATACAGTATTATTTGACAGAGATCAAATGGCGGTTCACTTGTTCCCACTTGTTGGAGGAATTGTCTGTAAGGGAAATAGGGGATAAAACACCCACAACATCCGCTGCTAGGATCACACATTCCAGCCTTAAACACTGGTTCTGGTTCCTCAGCCGTTCATAGCAAAAACATATCTGCTTACACAAGTAATTAGGTGAGAGGGCTCCGCAGCGTTCTATAAAAACCAAAATGGAGGCCAGAGAGGGGCAGACTACGGTAAATTGCAGTCTCGGCTTAGAACCAGTGTATTCTTGTTTCTTCTTGTTTGGCCTTAGTCTTGATTTGGATCTGACCAAGACCACACAGTCCATTTCAATAGTCCTCTTGTTGGTGCAGAGCTAGTTCACCCATTTACATGGTGATATGTGTGAAAAGTTTTAAAACTATTGGATTACATTTAGCTGAGTCCTAGTTCAGGATTTTATTTTGGAGGTTTAAGAGAGGCTTCAATCATATCTGCACTGATTTAGACATGCATTAGTCCTGGTTTATTCCTTGTTCAATCCTAGTCCTAGCTTCAAAAGTAATTAGGTGAGAGTGCTTGCATCTTGCAGCTTCCTTTATAAACCAAATACCAAAATGGAGGCCAGAGAGGGGCGGCCTGCAGCACCTCGTGAATTCAGCAATTTGGCGTCTGTTTCTGGGCTCCAAAAAATTCTTGGAAATGTCTTTTTTTTTTTCCTGGATGATTTTATTGCACAAGAGTCTATGTTTTTCTCCATGGCAACGGCACAACACTGGAGCCCGAGTAAGGTCTGACTCAACAAACAGAGATCCACAAAATAGCGCTTTTTCTGCCAGGGTTTTCCCCCTTCGCCCAGCGCTGGTCCAGGAGAGCCGTAAAAAGTGATGGTAATGATCATACTGGGAGACACATGGATGGATTAAACACTGCACATGTGCGACATACGTACAGCTGGAAGTATGCGAGGACAATGGCCCCAGGTGGCGGACGCAGTCACCTAAAGTTCACGATTGACCAGATCCACTTAGACTGACGGGTACAGTGTTGGCTGGGGCAGTAAAACGCTCTTTCCATGACCCAACGAAAGAAATAGGTGCCATAATAGTTTGGGTCCTTGTTCCAACAATGTGGTCAGGCATAGAATGGTAACTAGAGACTCTTTTTAGATGGTAGTTCAGTGATGCCTTGAAAAAAATAGAAGGATATTGTTTCACAAAATGTCCCCTTTACAAAAAATTTACAACCATGATGTCACCAAAATATGGAAAAACAGAGTTGCAAAAGTAATCCAATAACCCGCAGCGGAATTGTTGCAAAACTGTTTCAGCTATAGATTTATTTGAAGATATTTTTTGGTTTATGTATCTTGAAAAATTCCGTTGAAGTTTCTCACGGTGCACATAAGATCAGTGAACATACATACAAAAAAACACTGAGAGTAGCAACACAATTGTGAAATATATTTGGGCTCTTTGTGTGTTTGCAGAGGCAGCTCTTGTGAAATTCTTGTAAAAAACTCAAAGGCTGCCGCTCACTGGCCCCAAGCTTACTCCAGTCAGTGCTCTGTGGTTAATGTCACAGTTTACCAAAGCTGCACTCTGTTAGCCTATAGCAATGGACTTAACCAGTTGAGACAAGAAGATTGGCGGATCACAGACGAAGATGGGGTAAACTGCGGTAAATCCTCTGCTGTTGTGCCAAACCTTGTGTCCGATCTAAGGACGTGTAGGAGGAGCCACTGCAGTCTCCTTCAGGTAACATTGCAAACCCAGCAACAATTAACAAGCTAAGTTATTAAATGGGGAAAAACCATGTATCAAAAACTAAATTATGGTTGAATCAAACTTAAACTCAAGCATCACCAGCAGTCCGAGAAACACAAGGTTATCTTTCTGGTCCACACACTTTGGGGGATTTTGCAGAGTGGCAGAAAGTCACAGTTGTATAGTTCCCTCTCTATGGGCCTGTGCCTGCCTGCTGCTCTAATCCCTAGTGGTTTTAGCTTCAGCGGACGCCGCCGCCGCCATCACTGCTGCATGAAACAGACTTTTATGTAATACTTCATGCAACATACAGTATGTGTGTGGGTCGTCAGCTGTTGTGTCCAACTGTACGGAACCATGAGGGGTAGTGCAGGACAGATAAGGTCGATTTAAGTTCATCATTGTTATGCATTTGTAATCTAGTTTAACCTAAAAGCAGTTTTAAAGGATTTAGTATTGGTATGATTCAAATATTGTGGATACAATTTAAATTATTACACATGTTATCTTCATGAACATTACAGGTATTAAATGATACATGACATTTTTATGCATTTCATCTTTAGGGTTGTAGGCTTTGTGTTACATGTGTCATACTTTTTTGTATCTATGTATTCAGCACTTAACTTGAACTAAACACCTTGACCGACTTAATCGATTGTATTGATGAAAATAATGCTGATTGTAACAAGATACATGTTGAGTTTCAGTTTACATTTGCAGATATTGCAAAAGTGTGCATAAAAGACATGCTGAGTCTGATGGTGCAGTCGTGTTGAGGTCCTAGGTCAGGGCGCAGGAGCATGTGTGCTGCCAGCCTCTCCCCTCTCCTCCCTGAGCGCTGTCTGCCTGTGAGTGCACAGGCTGCCACAGGGAGGGGAGGCCCTACACAGGAACTCAATAATAACTTTCAGCAGTCTAGCCAGGAGGCTGGAAGCCCAGACTGCGGCTGTTCCCTGCAGTGCTCAGCCCTCCCTCCGCTGGGCCGGCTCCTCCCCCCTCCTGCTGGCCTGTGTCTGCTCCACAGGACTGATGCATTCTGCAGACAGGCCAGCGCGCTTAAAGGGACACACGCCACATTTCTATCCTTTGAATCACTGCAGTGAACCTGGAGTCAGGGCCAGGTGCCACTCACTTATGCATGTGTGTAGAGGGCAAATTGTGTGTAATAAACCACATATAGATTCTACAAATGTGTCAAAACAGTATGACACATTTTTGGCACAGTTTGGCACCTTTTGATCAGATATGTATTGAATTAAATCATACATAATAATCATAGTAGAAATGGGCAAGATGTCAAAAATGCCTCCTGTGATCATATTTTATTGTTATATCATGTGTAAAGCAATAGAGTAAAGATTAGATTACATTCCAGGGTCTGAAATATTAAAGTATATCACCTACATAGATATAGACAGTTCAAATTAATTTTATTAATACAATTTTATTTGCATGCAGAAGTGGCAAACCTTGCTGGCATTAGAGCAAATACATACTGTCCCTTTAAGGCCTGGTGCAGTACAGAAGTGGATGAACAAGACCAACTATGCAAGGAGCTCACAGTGGATCTGGGTGCTGGCTTTTTTCACTGCGGCTGTCGTTTGAAGGTGCCTTTGATGCTTTCACTAAACTTCGTCAAGTGCAATCACCACTCTTGGCTCAGGTTTTGTATTTAAAAGCATTGTAATGATAATTTTTGGATGCGCTCCAATATGAAGTTAATAATAAGATCTTGGGAATAACAGAGCCACCACTGTGCGGGCTTTATAAATGGCCTGGAGTGTAACTTGACCCTATACTGTGGTGTCTGCCCAAGTGTGAGAGAGACACATGGCACTGGATGTACTACTTCAGCCCTGACCTGGGTAAGACTTGGTTTAGTCCTGCTTTGGAACTGTAGTTTTAACCCACTTATACTTCTAATTTACTTATTTTTGCAGCATAAATGTTGATAATTGCCCAGTTGCAATTTACCACCAGTTTACGTCCACTAAGGGTTAGGTTTTTATTTAAAGCTGAGGGACGGATTAAAAATATTACTACAAAATACTGTCTATGGTTTAAACCTCTAAATGAGGTTTGTAAAATGTAGGTTATTATGCATTTTTGCAAGGTCTGACACTTTGACTTTGACCTTAAACTATTATTATTAAAGACATAATAATAAAATTAATTAGTTGCACAGTGGAGAAATTACAGATACTACCACTATATATACTAGGAATAATAGGAACATTACGGCCAATATTTTTCACACCTTCATTAAGCCAGTATTAGTTTGGACCAAAACACAAGCTTGGTCAAAATGCAGACCAGGCAGAGATCTTAGTCTAGTCTCGGTTCAGCCCCGGTTCACTTGCATCTTTTGAACTGGTATAGCCTTCCTTTCCTGTCACTTCAGCTCAACATTTTCTTCGTTTGCATCAGTAAAAAGTCAAAGGTTGTGTAAAATGGCGTCGGCAGCGAAGGTAAATGGACGCTGGGACGTGCGTAAAAAGCCATGTTAACTGGTCTGAGTGTGTGTGTGCGACTGGCGAGCCCTACACCACAGCGAGGAAACGATTAAAAATTTAATAGAGCTGAGTGACACAGAAACCTACAAGGGCGTGCCTGCCAAACACACTCTCATTCTTCGGCTGTCAGCACTTTTCCTCCCTCCATACACCAGCCACAGCCAGAGCGGCGAGGGGCTACTGAACCAACGCAAAGGAAAAGCTCAAATATGCTGCTAATTATTCCCTACTATAGCTGCAAAATGGCCTTCAACTGCTTCTTTGGTGTATCAATTACTCAAATATGTGTGCTTCAACACTTAAGCAAAGGCAGTGATAGTCATGAACACTGAAGTACTCTTTCACCTTCTGATTAGTTTTCATTGAAAGAAAATAAGCGAAAAGAAAAAATTTAAAGAAACAAAAACAGAGATTACTTGCATGGAGTGTGCAGAGGATTCAACATTTCTGCAAAAAAGACAGTTGAGAATTCTGATTTTATATATTTTGTATGGTCCTTAAAAGGGTGCAAAATAAGGGATTTGAAAGTCGAGAATAAATAAAACTTGGCAACATATATAAGACTAATTTAAAAACTATATACATTTATAACATAGCTTTTCCACTTGTATACAATTGGATTTCAGCATTTCTCTGAATAATACATGCATGTAGGTCACAACTCAACCCATTTTTGTCTTTAGAGAGCTGGAGGCTACATCCACTTCTTCGGGTCAGAGACAGGCAACATGTTAGACTGTTGTGTGTCTGTATTCAAAAGAACAATAATTCATGTATATTCATTATTATGGAAATGCACATACATTATATATTTCCAGTTCCCAACGTATGCTTTTTTAGGAGTTTTACGTTTGATCTTTGTCCATATCATTTTTTTCCATCCACATCAAACCGGTTGCACTAACTAGCAGCATGCAAAGGGTTAACATATCAAGTCTGCAGCATAACAAAAGATGAAATCTCTATGGGAGGTATCAGTGCCAGAGTCAGCAGAGCAGCCCAGGCCTCTGCAACGATGATAACCCCATTCTGGAAAACCTATAAGCTGAGCATCTAATTTCAGATGGACAGGCCGGCTCTCAACGCTGGGAAAGACATCCAACTCAACATATCTTTGACTCTCCGGAGTGCATTCATGGCTTCGCTGTGCTCTGAATTTGGTATTTTCACGGCTTAGCGGCACTGCTATTCCCACGCAAATGTGATTCACAAACAAAATGGAGCCTTCTCTAACACCCTTGAAGACTCAAAAAACGGACTGGTTTTCTGGTCTCTCGGAAAACAACTTTATGCTCATTGCTGTGCGGTGAGTGGAGAGCTTGAAGATGGTGACACATACCCAAACAACACCAAGCCATTGAATCATAAGTGTTTACACAGCCACAACTCAGCACCATCTGCAGGGCCCTCTCTCTCTGATCTTCAAAACGGCTCCAGGGACACCACAGACTCATCTAATCAGTAAATCAATGGTGGGAAGTCTGCTGTCTGGTATAGTCTTTTTACATTGAGGTCTAAAAGGTCACTACTGCTGGCGTTTTTGGTAGTAGAAGTAATAATAATCGTGCAGCTCTGTCTATTCGAAGCAATATCGCAATTTTAATGGTGGCAATTAGCAATGACTGAAATTATTTAAATGTATGCAAAGACCAACATTTCCTCTCTTATGTAAAAAACCTGGCAATGCTGTTGAATAATCATATGCCTTGGGTTAAAGATACACGTTCATTTTATGTACTAATTCACCATTTATGAGAATACTGATCAAACTTTTAAAGCTAAAGGGACGCAAATATTGTCCAGTAAGCATTTTTATGTATGATGTACCATTTTTATTAGTCATTGAGTGATTTGATTACATTCTTAAAAAGTTCATCTTGTCTTCTTAGTAGAATTATAAGTATTTGGCTCTTTACCAAACAACAGTAAGTTAGTGATGTTATTAGCTTGATAACTATTGATGTAATAACATTTAACTGCTGTTGTCTGGTATAGAAGAACAAAATTCTTTTATTCTTAATGAGGTGTTTAGTTTTTTTTTGCCTCCTCTCAAAACAGCAAATTGAAAATAGAAACCAATTATTATGTCAATCAGAAAAATACATTTTCCGCCCTACAATTGATTTATAAGTTAACTCTTACCGTTTCATTCATGCACATACATAACTGTATTGTAATTGGATTGTATTGTAATCTCCACCAATCTTCGGTCACTTTTTGACAGTGGAAACTTGTCCTTCTCTCTCCCAGACAATCCACCTGACCTTTGCAATGTCTTCAAGCAATTTCAACTCTTCCAATCGGTAAATCAACAGTAAACTTCACTGTCACTTGTATCTACACACTGTTATCTTCATTTGTGAGATCGGCCTGCGTCTCTCCCTAACCCTCTCCTTTGACCCGGCGGCCTGAACAAACCGTCACCTCCCTCACCTTACAAGGCAGATGCGGGATGAAAAAAGGCAATGAACTTCTGACCTGTCATTCAGAACAGCGGAGGAAGCGTTTCAGCTACGAGGGCAAGCAGAGTCCACCAACCTCCCTGTCTCTCAACGTCGCGCCCCTCCATCCAATAAACCCCCACTAAAGAGCTCCGGCTTCTCTTTTTTTATGACTGCCAGATGGCGGGGTAGGCCTCTGGACTTGCCTCTCTGGTCTAGTAAAAACCAGTTGACCTCAGCAAACATAAAAACTGCTATTTATGAAAAGGGTCCTGGAACAAAACGCACAAACATCCTGCCACCGAGACAATCAAAGTCAATCTCATCTCCCAAAGAGCACTTTTACAAGACGGAAATGAGTGGGAGCAGCAGTGGGACTGAGAGGTCATATCATTAGGTACACCTGCTCTAATGAGTCTAAGTATAGGCAGCGAGTTGTCAAATACGCTCAAGATTTGGGTTGTCAAAAGAATCAAAACATTAGATATTAATATATGTCAAAAATAGAAACTAATTTGAGAAATCAACATTGAAAAAAATCAGGACAAAATGTGGGATTATCTGAAAGGCTTGGACCTAAACCAGAATTAGTAGAAAAACATGTGCAATGAATACATATACAATGTTTATATATAATATGTTATTCTATATGTACTTTATACTTGCTTCTTATTATGCCAAAGGTAGATATTCTATACTTATTTATTATGCTAAAGTCAGAGTTTTTGTACTTACTTATACTTGTTTCTTCTTTTTGCTTTAGTATAGAGCCATTGTTAATTTATTTTTGTGCTGTGTACGACTCATTCCTACTGTTCTGTAACTGGTGATGCAACACTGAAATTTCCCCACTGTGGGACAAATAAAAGATCTCTTGATTTTAATCTTCTGTCCAAATTTGCAGGACTCCAAAAAAGAACTATTTGAAATCACTACTGAGGAATCAAAATGTGGATCAAGTTAGTTTAGTAGTATCAAAATTCAGCTTGTAATTCTAGTATCTTGACAACACCACTCACGGAAAGATCAAACGGAGATGTGCGAGAATTGACTTTGAACATAGAACATAGCTATTCTTGCCGATCTCTGATGAAAAAAAACAAATGCTCAGTGCTGTTATGTAAAATTGGCAGGAGAGGAACAAAAATC